CAGATTTAGGCCCTCTATGTCTACGGGGATGGGCAGCTAGGTGGCATGGTGGATAGAGTGCCAGACCTGGAATTAGGAGGATTCATCTTCCTGAGTTTAAATCTGGCCTCAGACGCTTACTAGCTGTGTGACTTAACTCTGCCTCAGTTTCCTCATCTGTAAAATGAGTTGGAGAAGGAAATGAAAAACCACTCCAGTATTTTTGCCAAGAAAACCCCAAATGGGGTCACAAAGAGTTGTACGCGATCGAAAAATGATTGAGAGTGTATAGGAGTAAGCTTCCTAACAACTAGAGTGATCCAAACTAGAATGGGCTTCTTCAGCAAGCAGTGGGTTCCTTCACATCTCAAATCTTCAACGAGATGCTGAATAACCAATTGGCAGCAACATCGTAGAGAAGCTTCTCAGGCAGGTATATTTTGGACCAGATAGGCTCTGAAGTAGCCTTCCAGTTCAGATTCTAGAATACCAACCCGGCATGACGTGAACTTTACAGAGTCAAAGATTTCCCTGCAAGGGAACTTACAGATCCAACCTTCTCATTATGGAATGGTGAGGAAACTGAAATCCTAGAGAGCAGAAGTAACTTGTCCCTGTGTGCCATTGGAGCAAGTATATATTATAGCTCAAGCTACACGTAGCACTTCATTACATTTACAAACATTTCCTAGCACAGTCTACACCTGTTCCCAATACACTACGTCCCATCTCCTGTCTCTGCGTCATTGCATACATGGTCTCCCACGTCAGGGACACATGTCTTTCTTATCTTCACTTCCTTCAAAGCATAGCTCAGATGCCACCACAGGTAGTGGTACTTTCTTCCCTCTTGAAGTTACTTTGTGTTACTTTTCATATATTTTAGTTTTACTTGCAAACATGCTGTACCAACCCCAGTAAAATGTAAATTCCTTGAAGGCAGGGGCTATTATTTATATCTTTATGTCCCTAGAACCTAGTATGGTGCCTAGAACATAGTAGGTGTTTAATATATGCTAATGAATTGAATTATCTCATTTGCTACTATCCTTCAAGGTAAATATTTATAAGTATTATTATCTCCATTTTCCAGATAAAGACACTGAGGCTCAGGTATGTAAAGTGACTTAGGGATTTAACTAAAGTCAGATATTCAGACTGTGATTAAGGTCATTGGCCACTCTATATTCCTATCTCTCCGTCACTAATTTTTCTAGCATCAGGGAAGGATTTAAACTAACCCTTCACAACATTCTTAGCCAATGCCCATTATGGAACACTAACTGGTAATTTGAGCAATATCTGGTCATTGCGGATAATATAGCCACAAAATGAGACATGGCCACACTTTGAATTTACATTTGGTCAATCAAGTCATTCCCAGATTCCTTCTAGCACCAATGCCTGTTCGGGGTTAAAGTTTCAAATGCCAATTCAAGTTTTATGGAAAATGGAAAAAAAAGTTTCAACACTGAAATAAAATACGGGGTTGCCCTCTTTCTTTTTGGTGGGAATCCACTTTCTTGCTTAGAAAAAGTTGAAATAAGCTAAAGGAAACGTATGAGTCAGCCTTCAGCAAGGCCAGGGTTCACATAGCCGTATCTCTCTGAAAATGGAGGCAGTATGAGATGAACCAACTCTGACATAGCAAAGTTAAGCTGAAGTGCTACTTTCCCGGCCTGTCTGGCTTCCCTCTGTCTTATCACTCCTTTCTAGCATCCTTCAGCAGACATCAGGAAATAGAAAATTAGGGTGCCAGGATACGGACCATTTTTATATCGGTTGGGAATCAAACCCAGACTGTTTGTAAGACAGGATCATGGGATAATAAAGTCAGGGCTCAAAGGGATGTTAGACATCATCTAGACTGACCTCTTAGATCTAGAGATGAGGTAACTGAGAGGCCTAGAAAAGTTAAGTTAAGCCAAGTTAAGCCAAGATCCTACAGATAATAACTAGTAGAACCAGGATTCAAAATCAGGTCTTTTGACTCTGGGGCTCTTTCCACAATTCTACACGGGCTCCATTTGATCATGACCAAGTCACAACCTCTTGGGATCTCTGTTTCCTTAAATGTAAAATGAAGGGGGACGTGTAGACTAGATGATCTGAGTTGATTTCCAGATGATTTTGTTAGATTTCTTCTAACTAAATCTAGAATCTTTTGATACAAGCTGGCCCAGCACATGCCAACTGGGACACAACCCAGCGTTAGAAAAGACAAAAGAACTATTCCCTTTGGTGAGAAACATCTTAGCATTTAAGCAAAGTGTTACATGTAGTACTCTAGGTAAGGCAGAGTCTAAACAGCTTGGAAATTTTTCTTGGCACTGGATGAAGTGAGACAAACGCATAGGCTTAGTCAGAGCCACTCTGACCAAGGAAGAAAGGGGCAACTGTTGGGCTTCCTGTCACTTTGGACATCTAGCTGACTCTTTTCTGAAGAGTATATCAACTGAGTAATAAGGATGAATTTCAAACCTTAAGCCCTGAAAAAAAGATAGACCAATGAATTCTAAGTAATTTTAATACCCAGTCTTCATCCTAAACAGAAAATGAACCACATTTCCTAATTCCTGAAAGAGAGGTGGGGAAATATGGGTGCAGGACGACAATATCCATTGTCAGATACAGTTATGGTATCAATTGTTTCTAAAATGGGTGCTTTTTTAAAAAGTTTCTCTTTATTAGAAGGAAAGGTTTCACTCCTAGGTGGTTGAGGTGAGGTGATATCCAGAAATTAATGTGGTGTTAACAAAAAAAGGGACAATATTAAAGCTTATTTTTAAAAAGTGAAAATGGTTAACAAGATAGATCAAGGGGAAATGAAATTTTAAGCGATTTCGCTTCCTCACAAAAAGGAAAGTGACTGCTAGGTTACCCACCTACCCATGATGTCGGTACAGACCTGCCTGCCTTCGGATCAGGGGCTGTGGCACTAGAAAGCAGTTTCACAGAACCAAACAGCCCCAGCAATACTCATGAAAGAATAGGGCTAAGGGGCATAAGATTGGAGTGGGTCCTGGAACTTACAACATTAGCACCTGCACCCTTGGCACCTTGCTCCAACCCTAGATCATCCCCTGTGTCTGTTCCTTTCTTTCTGCTGACAAGGCCACTGCCCTGTGTAAGGCCTCTGTCACCTCTCCATTGGCTTGTTGCAACCAGTTGGTGTTCCAGTTTTTAGTTCTCCCAGCTCTGCCCAAATGGGGCCCCAGCTGGCCAGTTCCAGTTGGGCAACTCATCTCCTCCTCTTCTCTCCTCTCTTGAAATGGGGTACCATACCCTTACTTGAGGATGATAAGAAAGGAAGATACATTTTGATGGGTGAAACCTACCTAGTTATCTTGGAGTTTTCTGACTAGATTTCTTTCTCAAAGACCATGTCTAAAACCCAATTCACTCTGGATCCCATTGGTTGGACACCAATAAGTCCCTGCCCAAGCACCACTTAATGGCTATTTTTTGGGCCCTCCTGGCTCAGAGTGTACATGAATAGTAATTGTTTCTCTTTTGGCCAACAACCCTGAGGTTCTATCCCTCCCAGTTTGATTTTTTTTTCTTTTAATTAAAGGGGTCTTGACTCACTTCTTCAACAGGCATATTCACTGAATGGGTGTTGCCTCACTCAAAGTGAGAAAAGGGAAAGATCTAAGCTTAAAAAGGCTGTCTCCCACTGCATTCTGGGCCATCTCCAGTGGTCTTGATCTATATCTGGCCACTGGACTCAGATGGCTCTGTAGGAGAAAGTGAGGCTGGTGACTTTGCACAGCCCTGCCTCACTCAAATCCAATTAAATGCATCACGTCATCATCTCCCTGATGTCATGGTCCTCTTCCAGAACAAAGGACAAATCACATACACATACACAATCTTTCATCTCTAATCTATCATATTCACACAGATGCCAAAATAATCTTCCCAAGGTACAGGTCTTCCCTCACCATTCTTTTGCTCAAAAATTTTCAGTGGCTCCCTATTACCTTGAGGATGAAATCCACACTCCTCAGCTTGGGATTTAGAGCCCTCCACTATCTGGCTCCAACCTACATTTCCAGACTTATTTCATGTGGCTTCCATGTACACTCTGTGTTTCAGCCAAACTGGACTCCTAGCTATTCTCCAAATTCAGAATTCTATTTCCTGTCTGTTTTTGCCCCAGCTGTCTCCCTATACTCCTATGCCTGGAATATATTCCCTCTTTACTTTTGCCTTTTAAAATCCTTATCTTCTTTTAAGGTTCTTTTCCTGGTCACATTAGGTGTTAACTGTTTTCTCTCTCTGCAATTTACCTGCATGCTTCCTATCCCCCAGTAAACTAAGTTCCCTGAGGCCAGGGACTGTTGTATTTGTATTTCCAGAACCCAGCACAGTGCTTTGAACAGCATGAATGCTTAATAAATAATGGTTGAGTTGTTCAGACCCGATTCTGTGAAAGCCTGACCTCATTTGGGAGGCCCAGGGGCAAGAACATTTCTGACTACTTTTTCTTGTCTCCAAATTGTACTTGGGTTGATAACAAAGCCCCTACATTTCCCAGAATCCTTTTCTATTACCGATTCCCCTTTGATAGAGGCTGGAAGTAGCCACAGGGCAGGAGATAGAGGAGAAAACACCTGGATGAGAGGTGAGCTCACCAGCAGGAAACCCCAGCTCCTGTGGACTGTGGAATAGCAAATGGGGGTTGTTATCATCGAGCTCTGCAGGAAAAGCCTCCTTCGACTTCTTTCCTGAGTCTAATCAAGGCTATTGGATTGTCTCTCCGAAGGCAGGGCAGGTGCCCTGATGATTCCCTCTGGATGGACTTGGACCCAAGATGATTGGACCATGGCCACTTGCTCTTAGCACAGCATAGTATGTGCTTGGTAAACGCTTGTTGAATGACTGGCTGACCTGGGGCACACGCCATCTCCGCCCACCCGCACAGGACCTCGCTAGTAATCGGGCCCAGGGTCTAGCTTCCTCGGGCTGCTATCTGCAGAGCCTAGATGCCGGTTCGATCACTGGGTCAGCGCACCCACCTCATCCACGGCGCTCTGCAGCTTGTGCTGCGTGTCTTCCATCAATTCCTCCACCTCACGGAACATCTCGTCGAGAGTGGCTTCTTCCTGCGGAAAGGCGAGGGCAGGCAGGGGCCCTTCCCGCTGGGCCTGGGATGCGTGGGAGGGGACCTTGGGGAAGGGAGAGGGGCTGATGGGCAGGGTGGAGGGGGCCGGGGCGGCTCGCCCCGCTCCAGCCAGGAGCCCGAGCAGCAGCAGCAGCCTCGGGAACAGCAGCATCCTCTGAAGCAGCAGCATCCTCAGCGCCTTCAGCGGCTGCCTGTGCGGGGAAAGAGCCAGGGGGTGACACTCAGGTCCTGTTGCTGCCCTGTCCCTGCAGTTCGCTGCCTCCCCCAGCACCCTTCCCTTCCCCTGCAGCTGACCAGCCCTCCCTCCTTTTCTCTACCCTGCTCCAGGAGATGCTCTAGGCCCTGGCCCAGAGCCCAGCCCCGACACCACCCCCCTTCGGCAGTACTGGCCCCCTGGGCTCCGTGCTTCACTCCCCAGCTCCCTCTGGCCTTTCTCCAGGGAAGTCTCCCCAATCCTTTCCTGAGCCCCCCTCCATCTCTGATCCTTCCCCCTCCCTTCCTCCTCATCTCGCTCCAATCCTCCCCCCTTCTTTCGTTCTTTCTCCTTCCAGCCTTTCCCCAGGGATATCCCCAGTCTTTCACCTGAGCCCCCTCCCAGCGCTGTCCCCTTAAGACCCCTTCCAGCCCCGTCTCTTCTCCCTCCCTCCCCATTTACCTCCAATCTTCTCCCCTTCTGGTATACCCCATCCCCCCCCTTCCAACCCCTCCCCAGGAATGCCCCGTCTCTTTCCCTGAACTCCTCCCAGAGCTGCCTTTCTTGCCTCCCTTCCTCCATCCTACGCCTACCCCCTTCCCACTCCCACCAATCTTACCCTTCATTTCCCCCTTCCCCCAGCTCCCTCCAGCTCCTCCCCAGGGATGCCCCCAGCCCCTGACTAAGGGTCCTGTCCCTTCTCCTAGCGCTGCCGCCTCTCCCCACCCTCCCCACGCTGAGGTCCCTGCCTGCCTACGGGTCTGGACTTTCTGTCCCCCGCCCTAGCTTCTTCCAGCTTCTTGCATTCTGTGCCTGGTCCCTAGGGATACCCCCTCTCATTCCCTCTCCCAGCTCGCTCGCTCCTTCCCCCGTATCGGGCCTCCGCCATCGCCCCCCTGTACCGAGGTGGTCTTGGCTTGGCTGACCTGAGCTTCCCCGAAAGGCCGGCGCCGCCGCTGCTGCGGGGAGAACCGGGCGGCTCCCGCGAGTGGCCAGAGCAGGAGGGCCAGACCTAAAGGACTAGGAGATGCGGCTGCTGGTACCCGCCTGAGATCCGTCCGCAGCAAAGCTCGCTAGACAGCCTGCCTGCCTGCCTGCCAGGCAGTCCGATCGGAGGCGGGCTGTCTGCGCAGCCCTCCGCGATTGGCTGGAACCCCGGCACTCCTGGGGCGGTCCAAGATGCTTGGGAGAGGGGCGGGGTGGGGCGGGGAAGGCTGAGGGGTTCCGGGGCTCCGACAAAGCAGAGTAAGACGCACCCTCAGTTACTGAGTCATGGGTGCTCCCCTCTCCCAGCAGCTGCAGCTGGGTTGGAGCTCAGGAAGCCCAGATGGACCCAACACCCAGGGGCCTTGGTTGCGCGATGAGCAAATGGTGCGGGGGAGGGGGGACCCCTGGCCTAGGAAAGAGGAAAGTTGTTCTCCAGTCACAATTCTGACACTGACTGTATGACCTTGGACAAGTCCATTTCCTCCTTTACCTCCACCTCCGCTTCAGTTCCCTATCCCACCGAGATTAAAGACATCTTTAAAGCTTAGCGAATTCCCCCGGGACTACCTCCACCCCGCAATCAGTGTAGACCAAGGACGACCGAGGGCTTTTCTAACCGGCACTTCAAGCTCCACCATGTATTGACATTAAATCGGAACCCAAATTAGCAGTGGGGCAAGAGGTGGGAGGTGGGAGGGTGGTGGATAGGAGTCAGCCTTCCAAGTCGTTGGCCTAAAAGGAAGGACTTTAAAAGGGAGCACCCCCACTGAGAATCAGCTTATCAATCCCATAACCAATACCATAACCCCCCTCACTTTCTTTTCTTTTCTTTCTTTTTTTTTGGGGGGGGGGGGCGGTGGGTGCTTGCAGACACTGGTCCTGAGGGTAGCATGGAGTAATGGTTGGAGAATCTGCTTCTGAGTCAGAAAAAGCTGAGTTCAAGGCCTGCATCTGACACACGCTAGTGGTGTGACTTTGGGCAAATCACTCAATCTCTTAGTACCCACAGAAAACTCTCCAAGACTTGAAGTTGAAGAAAAGGTACCAATCTGTCCTGGTAGAGAGAGTTTTCTCCCTGGAGAATTCCCTATGCTAGTAAATTCACAGTTGCAGATTCAGACTAGATTCCTCTAACAGAGCCATGGTCTGGACAGAGTATAAATGGATTAACCATCTCTCTTTCCTTATAAACATTATCTTCCCCCCCCCATCCTCCCTTTTCCCAAACTTCGCTATTGCTGCGGAGGGTAACACCATCCTCCCAATCACCCAGGTTCATCAACCTGTCATCCTCCACTCTTCACTATTCCAATCAGTTGCCAAATACTGTTGATTTTTACCTTCCTAACATAGTTTATATGTACTCTTTTCTCTCCTCTAACACTGCCACCATCTTGGTACACAGTCTCATTACTCCATGCCTGGATTATTGTAGTAGCTTTCTGTTTGGTCTCTGACTCAAGTCTATCCCCATTCCAGACCATTCTCCAATCAGCTGTCAAGTTGATTTTCCTAAAGCACAGTCTGACTATGTCACCTCCTACCTAACTTAATAAACTCCAGTGGCTCCTATCACCTCAAGGATCAAATATCAAATCCTCTGTTTGGCATCCAAAGTCCTTCATACATTGGCATCCTCTACCTTTCCAGTCTTCTTACACTTTGCTCATCCTTACATACTCTTCAATCCAATGGCCTCCATGCTCTTCCTTGAACAAGATATTTCATCTATCTGGTCTGTGTGTCCTGGAATTCTCTCCCTCCTCCTTTCCATCTGCTGGCTTCCTTCAAGTCTCAGTCAAAAATCCCACCTTCTGCAAGAAGCCTTTCCTGATCTCCCTTAATTCTAGTGCCTTCCTTCCAAGATAATGTCCCATCCATTCTGTTTATATTTTGTTTGTATGTAGTTATGTGTTATCTTTCTCCTTAGACTGTGAGCTCCTCGAGGGCAGGGACTGTTTTTGGTTTTTGCCTTTCTTTGTAGCCACAGCTCTAATCACAGAGCCTGGCATATAATAGGTGCTTAATAAATGCTCCTTGACTTCATTTAACAAGATGAAGAAATGGAGAACTTTACAGTACTGATTGAATGACTGGGCCCAAAGAATCAGAAGTTCATGAATGAGGGAGGGCTGGAGGGAAGTAGAGAATTTAAGACTCAAATTTTTCAAAGACCAATGTTAAGAAGAAAAAATAATAAAAGAGAAAAAACAAATCAAGAGTTCAATATCAGTTTGAAGGGAAGTCTCAAGTGGCCCTGCACTATTTGAGATTGTTGAAAATCAATGCTTTGGATAAAGATGAAGATTGTATGCTAGTCAAATTTACAGATGGCATGAAGCTAGAGTGAACGGTTAAAACTTTAGATGACTAAATGTTGGGATCTAAATCTAGGCCAGACTAGAATGATGGATCAAATCTAAAAAGACTAAACATATTAGGAATAAATGTAAAGCATAGTATATTGTGTAATGGTCCTGTCTTGGAATCACGCAGACTTCTAAGTAGAAATCTTAGCTCTAACATAATGGGTGTGTGACTATGGGCAAGTCACTTAACCTCTCCATGTCTCCCCTCCCCAGCTTCCACACTCCCAGACAACTCTGTAAGATCATCAATTACAGAAACTTACTGTTGTTGATATGGGAGAGGGAATTTTCACACTGGATGTCTCCTACACTGATGAAATGACACCAGAAGTCTGGACAATATGAAAGAAAAAGTCACTTGGGTTAACTTTAAAACTATTTCTCTCAAACTTCTAGTAATTCAAAAACTATATACTAATTCATGCAAAAAATGGTGGTGGGGGAGGTTATTGGATTACAAGCTCAATGGGCTTCAAAAGCATGGCATGGCAGCCCAAAAAAGCTATGATGGCTTCAGATTGCCTTAAAAGGGGCACAGTAGAGAGGCAGCCTGGCTCAGCAAAGGGGCAGCTGACCTCAGAGTCACTAATCCTGGTTATCTGTCCTGCTTCTGACTCATACTGGCTCTCAACCTTGAGCAAATCTCTTAACCTTCCAGTGTTCCCCAGGTTACTTTCTAAGACTTTAAACTATAAAGAAGATGCCCATCTACATTGGCAGAGAGAGTTCTTTACCAGGAGCTTGCTATATAGATAAAACCACAGGTCTAGTTATAGAAATATGGATATAGATAGCTAGGTATATAGGTATTGTTGTGAATTGCTCATTAGCAGGAGAATATGTGAACAGATTTCAGTATGTGTGTATGTATATTCAATATATAATTTTGATATATATCAAATCTATATGTGTATGTATTTGATATATATACACATATACATATCAATATGTATACATATCTATATTTGTATATCTACCTATCTATCTATCCGTTTACCTATGTATCTATGTATCTCTGTCTGTCTGTCTATCTCTCTATCTACCTACCTATCTATCTAGGATTTCCCGAAGGTTCTAGGTGTAAACTTGAATAGATTAAAGTTTAAAACTGCACTAAGACTTTTGGGACACTGTATACATACCCACATATATATAAACCTACATATTTATATACATACATGTGTGTGTATTTAAGAAAGACACATAAGGAGTTAATGCTTCTCTTGCCTTCTACAGTGGTGCCAGACTACATCTAGAGCATTAAGTCTAGTTCTGGAAGTCACACAGGAAGACAAACAATTTCTCTCAATTTGCCCAGGGGCAGAAGGGTCTCTAGTTGACTCCTACATTTAGTCTGTCAATCAAAACTGATTTATTGAATCAATAATAAACATTTATTAAGCACCTACCAAGTGTCAAGTGCTGTAATAAGTTCTGGGGATACAAAAAGAAACAAAAGACTGTCCCTGCTCTCAAGGAACTTACACTCTAAGGGGGGGGTGGAAAGGCAGGAGGGGGTGTGTGTGTGTGTATGTTACAACATGCAAACAAAAATATAGAAAGCAAGCCATATACGGGATAAATCTTCACCATTTGCTGGTTGTTTTCCTTTGTTCTTGAAGAGGACTAAAATGA